TTAAAAATATAGTATTGATGAAATATTTAAATATTCATTATACATTGTTTTGTTAAAACAGTTTAGACACTCATTGCTTGTAAATAATGAGTTCGTAAATTAATTTTAATTACTAAACTACGCAAAATATTCTGTTGAATTCTGACAAATGGATAGTTTACACATAGGAAAAGGACATACAAATATTTCGTTAGTAAATTATGCAAGTTTAATCTTTACTAATTGAAAAAAAAATCTAAATTGCCATTATATAAAACCTAACCTCTTTATATCGACTGTATGTTTTAATTCCTTCGACATACATCAATATCAGTTAGTCACAGTTTTTAAAAGAATTCCCTGTCCGCTATCTCCGGTCTTAAAACGCAGGGCTAACGCACCTTCAGGGCTATTAATAAGAAAAACAAAGCGCTATCACAAGTAGGTATCAGGAGGTCATTGACCTTAGGTTTTCTTAAATTGTATCATCACTACACAAATCAAAACCAAATCTATTCTCATTACATAAGGCACGTAATACAATGACTAATAAAAAAAAACTCAATAAAAATTCAAAGTGCATCACATTTCTTCGATAAACACTGTTAGATATTGCATCATCGTTCGATACGTATATAACAATTGGTACAGACGAATCTCGCCCTAATCACTATAACCGAAAGTATAAATTCGCTCGAAATAATTTATTAGTAATGTCATTTGTGCATCGTGTCCACGTTCGCGGATATTGCCAATTCTTTCACTATTCATAAATATAACGAGCAATTATAGGCTTATTTTGCATGGAATAGAAAACAAATTGGCGTGAATAATTTTTGCAGTGTCGTCCTGTGATGCAATTGATGGACATTTTTATTATGTTAGGCTTGTTAGTGTGTACGGTGACCATTATTATAGCTCTAGTTACGACTATTGATGTTTATTAGAAGATAATTATTACTTGTCATATCTATATAATAACATAGACATATATAGTATACTAGCTGCGCCCCGCGGTGTTACCCGCGGATTTCCGGGATGTAAAGTAGATATGTTATTCCTGGAGGTCAGCTTCTTGTATACAACATTTTATCAAAATCGGTTCAGCCGTTTGAGCATGAAGAAGTAACAAACATATACACACTCACAAACTTTCGCAATTATAATATTAGTAGGATTAAATGTTATATATGACTTATGACAAGTATGTAATTAATTAGATTTAAATTATATTCTTCCTATATTGTAACTAAAAAGTATCTAACAAGTACATCCTACATTAGTCTGTGTGTGTGTGTGTGTGTGTGTGTGTGTGTGTGTGTGTGTGTGTGTGTGTGTGTGTGTGTGTGTGTGTGTGTGTGTGCGTGTGTGCGTGCTATCACTGAAAGAAATGAGGTTATCTGAATGCGTTGTCATTGTTTGTGCAAGTGATACGAGCTCAGTGCGGGAAATAAAAATAACTCCTTAACCTTGGAACACTGAAATATACATTTTAATGCATTCTTTGTTTGACCTACCCGAATATGAGTCACTTTACATTTTTATATATATACGGAATCCTTTACCTCCTTAGGGATATCTTGTTCAATGTAACACACACACACACTCTACTCTCACACACACACACACATAAGCATGTATTTGTTGACATAGGTCAGTTTACTTTTATTCCCACATCTTTATAAGATACTGTTACACATAACTACATTGGAATATTATATGAATATATTAATTGTGTACATGTGTGTGTAACACTCACACATGTATACATATACTTATAGACTTTTTTATAAGCAAGGAATATATTTGTATAAGCTCAATACTATCAATGCTTTCTTTATAAAACATTTCATTCGTAACTTTGATGTAGCCCAAGAACAGTAACTGGGTCAGTTAAACAACCAATTGATCGCAATGAGATCCAATAACTAAAGCTTATAGGCAATATCAATTAAAAAAGCAAACTATTCTTTTAAACGCACACATACAAATAACAAAGTGATAGTTAAAAAACCAATCTTAATACAATGGAATAGAGTTCAAATATCATTGTTACTGTAATAGGAAGTATGTATGTGGGTGTAAAATCGAGATAGTGCAATCTTAACAGTGATCTAGCCAGACCGAGCCGTCTCTTTCACTCACAATAGCCTACATTCTTGAAATAGGGACGAATCATTTATTTACTAATTCTAGGATTAAATACATCTACAGATCCCACGCTATATAACAATACATATAGATAATGCAAGAACAACTCTGAGTTCTAAAATCATTTATATAAAGACCAATTTAATTTGCCAAGTAAATCATATTTCCAATAAAACAGACATAAAACGAACTCAACAGTGTATTCTTTATATAAAAATAATTTCTTTGTTTACGAGCCTCATCCAAGGCTGATGAGTAACTCCTTGAACCGATACGTCGATAACTTTAAAAACTGCTCTTAATGTTTCACGTGTGACGTGGCTGTTTACTTTAAACTGTGTCCGATAAAAATAAAAAAAAAAACAAACTCAAACATATTTGAAACACGTTCTATTTTCAAAATCACATACATACAATGACACAGCAAAAAGTCAACTCTAATACTTAATTATGCGGACTGCAAAACTATTAATTGAATAAACTATGAGTTCAAAATCAAACCATTGTGAATAAAAAACGTCGATGTTCAGGAAGGAAGACATTTTTTTTAATTATTGTACATTTTTACCCCTTTTAAATAACATGTTAAGTAACAACCAAATTGTACGGTACACGGGAAGTGATAACTTGTTAATTGTTACTTTGACACCTGTTCGACGTGACTGGGGTTTGAAAAAAAAAGAAGGTTTATTGACTTTTTAAATCCGTTTCCAACATGAGTTCCCGCGGTTAGATCTTTTTTATTGTAAATTAAAAAATGTGAGAAAATAATTGAAACTTCCTTTAAAATACTCAAATATGTAGAATTTTAGTCTTGTGTAATTTCTATTTTTCTAGTTATAAGTAGAAATTATTTTCTTAGAGAACAAAATACTGATCAAAAATATGAAATAAAAATATTATTTTTTTCATAATATGATCTATATAAAAAATTTATGTGGTTTGCATTATCTAATGCTATAATTCGCTATATTTATCTAAACAATTCATCCAAGCATACACGGGTACCAGAGCTAGTATTACTACACAAAGTCTTAATAAATCCTTGTACATATATTTTTTATCTCGCCAACATTATTTTTAGCCGACCCGCGCCTGACACTGTACGCATTTTTCTGAACTTGACTTAATTCTCATCTATTTATATCATCATTACACACTTTTTCTTGAGAACATTCATGTTGCCTTATAAAAAAATAAAATGAGGTTAATAAAATTTAATATACTTAACAATAATAAAATGAAATTAAAATTATAGTGCACTAGTACAATACATATTTTAATAAATGTCAGTAGATAAATTGCTATCACGATAGCCATCAAAATAATTAAAAAAATCCCCCCCGAAAGGGTTGGGATCGTTTTTCTTAATAGGGACTTAAGGCTCGGAACAATTTGCTGAAAAATTATGGAGCGTACATTTTTCATAGCTTTGTGTTCTAAATTTTTTATGTACCTAATTACAAGGGTCGAGTCACGTACAGTGCGCCACAGTTGATGTGTTCCATTAATATCCTCGTTAACTCCCGTTAATAAACTTTAGTTTATCGGTGTACATGTTTTATTTTATTGAACAAACTATCTTTACTTCCCGGGACTAGAACCTTAGACCCATAGCGTATCAAAAGCATAAATTCTTTGCAATTTCTTCGTTGCGTGATAAACGGCCAGTTCCACTTTCTAACACGCGTGAAAGGGCTACACCGCGGGACAAATAAACTATACAACATTCACCAATACTAATAATTATCAATAAATATTATTTTATAAGATTCAAAGGTCACATTGATCTCTGAACAATAAAATTAATTTTAGTAATAAACAAAGCGATCTTTTCCTGTTGTCTGAAAAATAAGCGTTTATTACAGGAATTAGATAAAAAAATGTTTATATGTTATAAAATAATTTATTGTATATATTTTCCTCGAAGGAAGTCAAATGTTTAATTATTGTGGGTCTGTGGAGCGATGCGCGCGCTTTACTGTCAAGAAATGAAGTGTGATTTGTGGGGATATAATATGTTTGATAATGCGTCTTTACTATCACAGGTATTTAATTATTATTATACAAAAAATAATAATTTAATAATATAATATACCTAATGTTTATACTTATTTTGTCCTACACAACATACTTGCGTGTCTGAAGTCGTTTCTTTGCAATCGCATAGAAGTAAGGTTTTCAATAAATATACCTATATATTGCTTAGCAAAAATTTAACTTAAATTATTTGTTAATGATTAGACTTCTATTTAGATGTTTATAATTTTATACATACGATATTTTGTTTAAACAGATCAAATATAAATTAATTTAATACGATAAAATTATACATTATTTTATTCAGCATTTTAACTACATATATACATATATATATAATAAATATATATAAGTATAGTATATTGTATAAACCATCATCAAGAGTCACATATCATATCACAGTCGGGCGCGCTATAAATAATTTTAAGTCCCTATAATTCCGCCTTATCTGACTCAGTGGTGGAAAGCTATTTCTTTGCCATGGCTAAATTATAGGAGGCCCGCGTGAAACTTTGCACCGACTGCACATAATGTTTGCTACACACGTACTAAAGAACTCGATACGCAAAATATATATATATTATTTAATAATATTTAATACCTACGGTTGCTTATAAAGTCTTTCATATGTAATTATATCTAAAAACACGTGACATATCGTGTTTCATTTGTTTTCAATAACAAAAGATTTGTATGTTGACAACATTTTATTAACTAACTTGACCAACAAAACATGAGTTTAATAAAAATAATTAAATTAAACTATAATGAAAATCATATAATCTTTATAATATGTAAAACAAACAAAATCAGCCATCAAAAAATTACAGATCTTCATGCATAAGAACGCTATGCAAATGCATGCACGCGAGCTGCAGCGCGGGCTCGGCGGGGAGGTGAAGCCGCACCAGTGCCAGCAGTGCTTGAAATCATTCAGCTCGAACCACCAGCTCGTCCAGCATATAAGGGTCCATACGGGAGAGAAGCCTTACAAGTGCTCCTACTGCGACCGAAGATTCAAACAGCTTAGCCACGTACAACAACATACAAGATTACACACAGGTAAGTAAATAATAGAATCTTAATAAGAAAAAATGTAATTTATAATCAAATTTCATACTATAGCACATATTTACTTTAATAGGTTTAGTTCTATTTGAAGAATAACATATATATACTTCAAATCTCATAGTAATATCATGGTAATATAAAAGAAGTTCAAACATTTATATTATTTTAAAAAGATATATATGAATAATCTGACGTACCTACATAGTAAATATTGTGATAGCTTCGCCTTAAGCGGTTTAAGACAATACTTTAATACATATATATTGATAAAACTTCAAAACAAACGCTTTAAAACAATACTATATGTTCATCCAATTAAATTATATTCAATTTTATAACGTTAAGGAAGTAAAGTGGATAGATAACGAAACACACACACACATACACACACACATATATTTCATCATTGGAATGTATATTCTTATTACATAATAGATTTTGTTGTATGTAAAATAAAAAACGCACACATTCATACACGAACACACACATACGAATACAGTATGTACGTATAAAATAAACAAATTTAATAAAACGAACATACATCAGGGCATACGGCTTGCGTCTTCAATTCCAAATTTAAACCAGGCGGCCATTATAAGACAGATTGCATCGCTATTTAACCAACAAAAATATGTTTCATATTCAACTTACGTATAGTATATACATACTTAAATTAATTTTATGGCTGTATGAAACACGATCACAGCCTACGAACGGTAAGTTGTTAATTAAAAAAAATAAATTACGTAACATACATAGATACAAAAACTGTATAAAATATATTTTATATATAGTATATAAAACGAGTTATACGAGAGCCACATCCGCCGCAAAAACAATCCGTGACTAGAACAACTTTTATAATTAAAACTACGTTCCAACCATTGGTCGGAGTTTCCGCGGAAAAAAAACATCTCCTCTGCCGTATACGTGAAAAGCGGGAAAAAAATATTAACCAATGGCCGCCTGGTGTTGACCAGCGGACCAATCAGAGGGCGGCACTCATATACGTTCTACGTGTTTTAGAAAAAAATATATTTTACGTGTTTTTCCATTCTCCAACTAGCCAATGGGCGGCGTTTCGCTCCGGTCCTATGCCTCTTGTAATTGGATTTGTGACTTTTCTGTAGTCTTTAACTTATAAAATTGCACCCATACATTATGTTAGTTTAATCATTTTTATAATGATATAAACAAAATAACTTTATGAACATTTGTAATGCATATTAGATTTAACTCTAATAATTATACCACAATTAACATTCAATGGATACAATACTATTTATAAACATAACTAAATACACTGTGATTAATTATTATCTAATAATATATGATTGTATATTGTATTAGTATTACCTATTAAAAAAATTGAAACAAAACGTCATGCATTGTTCCCACGTTTTTTTTTCTACTGGCAATAATTAAATATTTATCCTGTATGCCGGCGATCGTTGCCTGACGTTCGTAATGACTTTTTTAATTGTCATTACAATGACAGGTGACAGTTAGTTTGACATCCGATGACATGTTCACGTTTGACATTTTTGACATAACATATTTATATACATATAAATGTTATTTTACGTTAGATTAGTATTTAGAATGCGTGGATTTGAATGTGGTCGTGGACGTAAGTAATTATTTGTTTTCAACGTTCTATAAAATTATATAGATGTGGAAGTGCTGTTTACCGTGGATAACGTTTGTATTTAAATTAAAACTAATTATATGATATTCTACTAATACTGGGAATGCGAGGCTTGTGTAGCTTTTATATAGGTATGTATGTTTGTGTATTTATTACTTTGAAACAAAATTGCTTAGATTATTCGTGCAAAAATTATTTTAATAAAAAAAGTACAAGTATTGGTTTGAAATTTGATTATTATTTTGTAAATCGATACGGAATGTTCATAAGAAAAATATTTTTATAACGAGAACTTTATATTATTTATGAAGCGAGGTCGCGGGTCATAACTAGTCAATAATAAATATGAAACATGCAATGAATTCAAACCGAACATCCTATATAAAGCGTAATAATAATTCTTTTTGAAATAAATTTTCCTATCAAAGTCGTTGATAAAAGCATTTGAGTCCGGAGTTTTCTTTGATTTAACATAACAATGGAGCGAAAACAAATTTCTTAAAACTCTGGCTGTATGAATAAAACATTACAATATATAGAAGGACGTCTTACAACACCCTGTATATAATGAATATTGATTTTGAAACATTTTTTAAAGATGTCCTCGAGATATCTCGTTCGGAAGCCGTGATAACTTGTTACTTGAGAACGGGAAAGGTGAAAATGTAAAGCGTGAGACGGATTTATATTATATGTTCATTTATTATTATCATTACATTTATTGTGACGTCATTCTTAAATGAATACCAAATAAATACTGTATCATGTACCTATAAATTTATAATGATGATAAGAATTAATATATTGATTTCGTTGTTCATTTAAAATGATTACTTATACCTTTTAATATAATTAATACATGTTATTATAGCGAGAGTATTAGTAATACGTTTAATGGTTCCATAATTTCACACGGAACCCTAAAAAACGAAGCAAAGACTGTCCGAGCGAAAAGTATTTTACTAATTTGCAGAGTTTCATCCCTTTTGAGATTGTAAGGAAGTTTTTTTATTAACATTTTCTGATATCACTTTTGATCGTCTGACCCCCGCCAGCTGATTTACTTTTTAAACTCCAACAATAACTTTTTAATTTCATACAACCTGTGTATCAATTCATTTCCAATCACCTGTACCTCTTTAATTATAATTAAATTCATAAAACCATGGTCACTTTACTACATAGTCATATTTACTCATGCCACGAAAATGTAGTTAGGGGGTGTTATATGGATGGGGGGTGATCCCGGGGGAGGCCGGGGGAGGGGGCAGGAGGGGGGGGGAGAGGAAATCAATACAATCATCGCGATGACGGTACTACTATACAAATAGTGCACGCAACTTTAGAGTTTATCATATAATGTGTAAGGCGCATTTTAGTATAACGTCATATTATATACATATGTGATAGCGGCCAGTGATCTGTATCGTACTTGAATACTAATTTTGAGCTTAAATTTGCGAATCACAATGATGTGTTCATTATATGATGGTTAATTTAACAGACGCCATATAGTTTAAATGGCCACTTGGTATAACGATTTATAAACATTATTAAATCAACTAGAATGTTAACCAAAATACAATATATATACTTAGGAAAAACTAAATATTTTTGTATAACAAATATCAGTTAATAATCTATGTAGATCTAAACTAAATATTAAAATGTTCAAAGTACAATATATATGTAACCGCAGTTGCGGCTCGGCTAATGCATTTCCTTTAAATTAAACTAAGCTTTACCGAATAAATGTTAATGTTCGATTTTATATACGCTAATTACATGGGATTTGTACTGTTAACTGTACTTCACAAACAGATTACATTTAAATGTAATCTATTATATACATATATATTTATATATGTATGTCAGCCATATTTATTTAATTCAACCCGCTGTTCAAGAAGGGTATATTAAGCCTGGTCCTTTGGGAGTTGAGGTAACTTGAGCACGTAATCCGTCTTATCGTTTCCATAAAAAGATATTAATGGAAAATTTTTGTATGAAAAAACTTTAACCCACAGGGAGACGATGCAATCGGTTTAAAAATGACGGGCTGTAAATTAAATAATGGATAAAACAGTAAATTTAATGTAATGTGGACATACATAACAGTGTTACATAACTAGAGAATTATTAAATTTTAATTAAAAAGTTCAACAAAAACATGATTTTATAAGTTAGTTCTGTCAGTGGTACACGTGGGAGCTGGTCGGGAACAGTTCAACAATTTTGTTTTACAAACTTTTTGGTAGTCGTGGAAACCATTTTTGAATTAGTTTAAACAACATTTTTTAACAATATTTTACTTTTATACTGTCATTTTGATTTTTCTATCTGAATATATTTAAATACAAACCAATGGAGATGTAATTTCAATGATTGGTCCCGAGTCCCCGTTGCTTATCTTATTTTTTATTGTAATTTTTTTGTCCGCGTCTTCATTCTACCCTCGACTAAGGGAAAAATTCACGAACCGTGACATCTTGATACTAGCTATATACATTGAATATATTTTCTGCTTATTAATATGTATATTTTAATATCACTGAACCGAAACATATGCTGTGTATATACATATTATTACGACTAAATAAGAATGAATGAAAAATTTATAATTAAAACATACTCGCGGTTCATTTTATCAAATATTATTTCGTATTAAAATAAAACTTATATTTTCGGATAACTACATACTCCTGACATTTCCGTTGCTTTGTAAAAACCATGATTATGGAAAGAAGAGATGATATTAGGTAATTTATTTAATTTTTTTGCCTTTATGTCATAACTTTAGAAACAAAATCATATTATTTATTCAGAGAAATTCTGTTTTCTATATAACAAAGTATCAAGATCTGTCGTTTTATCTATAACGAAGGTTATTTACAGAAGAGTCGGAAAAAAGGTTATTTCGAATGATCGGTTTTTATTTGATTTCAGGCGTGTTTGAGTACAAATTAGCGCCACCTTATAAATGTTATGTCTTTTTTATCATCTTTCCTTTCGTTTTCACTTTAATATTTTTTACGTAAAGTCGAGTTTGAAAATTTTGTTCTTGAGAGTTGTTTTAAATAAAAAGTATCCAAAACTTGATCCGTTTACCTTAAATTTAATGTAAACGAATCATAACCCTTTTTTGGAAGCACCAACTCGAGTTATCTTTCAATTAACTTCAAGTGTTTTTCTTATTCAACAAAAATCACTCGAGAAATTATTGTAGACGTCATTTGAATGAACGTTTTTATTTTACTTAAAAAACATATAATTAGAACACAATTTCATTAATTATTACTATTGAAAAATTATACTTATTTTCCGTAAATGGAATTCACATAGG